AATTCTCGGCGAATGCGAATTTTGCAAGCTATGTACAGAACTAAATTACCAGCGACTGATTTGTTAGCTTGTCAAGGACTGTCTTTTGACAATTTTTTTTATTTTGTTTCTTTAAGCCGCACAATACAAAGCGAAATTTAACGAATTTGATGACAAGAGCAAAGCAGAGTTACTGAAATTAGGAATGGCTTTCCATGCATATGATATAGTAAAGAAGATGATTTCACCAGACTCGGATTATGCCTTCAACTTTGCAGTAAGTAGTTCTCTATGAAATAATTTTAGCAAACGATTTGCTTATGTTTTGAATCGATTTCGAACAGAGATTGATAAATATCTGCGGTTTTCCCCATTCTAATAAGAAGACTTCACTCGACAGACCTTATTCACCGACAATTCCGCTAATAACGCATCTGCGAATTTTTTGAAAACAGAAGCTAAGAAAACATAATATTGTGTCATTAGCAAACCTAGTTGTTATTACAAGTTCCACTTTAGTCTACTTTGAAGTATTATATACTGCTTCACGCAATCACATTTAGTGTGAAACTAATTTTCGAACTCGCTCTTACTCTGCTTACACTCCCTCACACTTCAGGCTTGCACAAACAGCCTTGCAGGTATGTCTGTGTTGGAAAATGCCCAAAGCACGGAGGTCGATAAGAAACAAACTCGGCCATCTCTCAGATCAATTTCATATTCGCAGGTCTTATGTAGTTTTTCTCCGTGATTAGAACTACAACCTAAATGTACCCATTTCCAACCCCCTGCAAAAAATTTCGTATCCGAACTGTTCTCCCCTTAGATAAACTTTATTCAGAGTATTTTCCTCATTTCTCTCTTTTGCTCAAAGCAAGGCTCAACTACTGTATACCACTCGACAGAGAATTTCATGGACTACAAAATCATATATATAATATTGAGATCAAATTGGGTGTGGATGTCCTAACTCTAGAAATACTAGTCATGGTCTCCATAGATCAATAGCGTTCATCGCTTATGCCGTGTAGAATGATATCTGAAATCTCGAGATCGAACTGGGTGCCGGTGTCCTAACACTAGACATACTACTGGAGAGCGATGTTTTCGGCATCGACGGACAGGCTAAATCCATTTACATCGACCTTTGACGTCAGTGACGAGATTTGCCTCGTATTACAGAGCTCAGCAAGCTAACCGAATGATGGAAACGGCAAGTCTATAGCCTCGTTAGAAAAAGAGCCATTTTACCAAGGGGGAAAAAGCATACTTCTGTACTTCTGGTACTTCTCCGTACTTCTTGATACTTCTTCGTACTTCTTCGTACTTTTTTGTACTTCTCCGTACTTCTGAAGTACGAAGTACGAAATACGGGATTTCGTATTTCGTACTTCGTACTTCAGAAGTACGGAGAAGTACAAAAAAGTACGAAGAAGTACGAAGAAGTATCAAGAAGTACGGAGAAGTACCAGAAGTACAGAAGTATGCTTTTTCCCCCTTGCATTTTACCCTCGCAGCAGGAAAATGCATATTTCAGCGGATTTAGCCTAACTTGTAGAACGTCTGCTGACCACATTCCCTAACGTAGAACCTTGAAGTTGGTATCAAATGAAAGAGTGCATCGAGTTCTATATATTTCGACGGAGAAAAGTTATCGTCGATGATAAACGTAACAATTATTTAAACAATAAAACAAACTATTGATAACTAATTCAGACTAAGATAATCTATCTATATGATTCAAGTGGTATTTAAACGTTCTTTAACCAAATGTTTAGATTTTCTTTTTCTTTTTCATTACTTCTGAATACTTTATTTATTATTAATTAGTAGTGAACTTTTCTCTGTAACATACAAAAGCGATATGGAGAAGTTGCTTCTATTCTGACAGATACCATATAACATGCTACTGTTTGCATAGTTAAAATTTAAGTCTTAGATAGCTCAAAAAAAAGTGAGCTACCTTCTGAGATTAATCTTGAAAGGGTAACATCCAACAAAGAAAGGAAAAAATAGTCTACATTCTCCAGCTCTACATCTAGAAGCAGCCATTCACGAAATGTCGGAGTTTATGGAAAAAATAAGCCCGATTCCACACTAAAAACTCATAAAAAAAACGATATTTTTCTATGTTACGGAAAAACGTTCGTCTCTAAAGCTGAAGTATTTTTACGGTTTATGGCACCATCTCTTGTTCCCGCTATGACTCGAGAATAAAACACTTTTAAACGCGTAAGTATATATCTATAAATGGATCAATATAGATCTACATCTGATAATAGTTTCACCCATATCTGTGACATCACCTAGATGGATCTGCTTGATTCTGTACGATAATGGCTCTTAGTTAACATCTTTCTATTTTTAGGATTGGCAATTAGATCAAGCATTATATGATGCAATACGATTTGATTCTGTTTATTTTGCTGATTTACTCGTTGAACATGGTGCAAGTTTTGATAATTTAGAAGGCATAATTTCTATGAAGGAACTATATGAAAATCATGTTCGTATTGTGAAACTTTTCGTAGTAACAAAATAATACTAGCTTTTTGTTTCTGCCGGCTTTAGAGAGGCATGTATAAACGTCTCCCCTGTGGACGAGGGAAGGAGAATCCATCACAAGATGATTATTATAGGGACTATTTCCCTGATACAATGGTATATAACAATGGATGCTATTAAACAGAGAAGGATAATTCTTCAATTCTAGAGTTTTGATTATTTTAGGAAGTTCTAGCCACGGTCAAAAGTGAGAGATTTATAATGCTTTAATCTCATTTGTATTATGTGCAATGGATAGATGATTGAGCTTTTTCATTTTAAAATTATTTTTGAATTCTTAGCTAATTGGCATACTTCATTTGATGACGATCGACCACGTTTCATCAGAGATTTATATTTATGGGCGACGTTTGTTGGCCGTTACAATATGTGCGACTATCTGGCTTATCGATCACCGGTATTAATTAACTTGAGTAGTTTTATCCATTTCAAAATACACCTGAATGTTTTCTGAACACCATTTGAATGGGAAATGATAGACAACGATCTGCGAGTTTCTATATTTCCAGTAAAACCTTGAGACTACAGAAGTGTCCAAAAGTACAGCCACTTCAGGAACTCATGATCCTTAAGGCCATTTGGCTTGAAACTTCGTGTAGAGATAGTAGACCGCAAGGCTAAATCATGCCACAAGTTTTAAGTCATTTAACTGAAGACATCCACGGTGTCTTATTCCGGAAGCAATGAAGATCCTAAATCAGTTTTCTCGCGTTATGAGTTGCTACAAGTTCAAGGTTATGATAGCAAACAAAGAGTCTTATTTTATGATCGCGGTTTTCGCGATCCAGAGATAATCTTGCTAAACTCGTCTAGGCGCTTCTCAAGCAAATATCACCTATGGCAAAAATCTAAATACATTTCATCTGTAATCGGTCGATACACTACTGGTTGCTATGTAGGTTACTACACTGAAATTTGGAATTAATTTCTGATTTATAGAAAATCGATCTCGGTAATCGCTGGCGATTTTCTGAATTTTTAAATTTCCTGTGGATTTTCTGGCTTTCTAGAAATTTCTAATTTTCGATTTTCTATAAATTGACTTTTTATTTTATGCAGAAAATTGCCATAGAATTTCCAAAAATATGAAAATTCGGCGTCAGAGTAAAAATTTCTTGTAAATTCGATTTTCTAGAATCTAGAAAATCCTGAGGGAATTTATATATGGACTTTTTGAAAATTGCCGAACATTTTCTATAAATAATTCCCGATATTACAATGTAGCTGGAAAAGGGACTTTTAACTAGATCTAATTAGTTCGTCTTTTTCTTCCAAACTTCACTGAGACTTCTCTCTGCTTATGAAAATCTATGTTCCTTTTTCTTTTTCCTTTTTTCCTTTTCTACGATTTGTATACTGTTGCATCTTTTCTTATATATGAATAGACAAAATCATACAATGGGTTCGCCTCTTTCTTTTTGCTCTCTTCATTTATTTAAACTTGTTTTCCTCCTTTTCTTGCATAAATAAAGCTTATAATAACTAGATGCGTCTGCATATGCAACTTGCAATAGTTAAATCGATCGATTATCGGGTGATAGATCGATAGTTGCAAATAGAAGAAATCTAGCAATCACCCGATTACTAGATTCCCACTGTCGTTACCCAATAGTTGCAATCAAGTAAAAATCTAGTAATCTAGATGAATCGGGCGATTCTAGATTTTTTTTGACGCTTTGGTCGTTTGATCAAAACTAGAGATTTTTCTTTTTTTGGATCCAAGTTGGTAATTAATGTCAAACAGTGGGAAATCATCAAACTTCACGTCGAACAGCTTCAATAGGTATAGGAGATTGAATACTTCTGACGACGTGTCGAAATATGCCAAAGTGTATACAAACTGTAGTTGAAAGATTTGAAGGCTATTCGTAACTGCAAGATTTCTTAGTAACGAAACGTTGTGGAGAGTTAGGGCTGTGAGTTAAGCTGATGAAAATACATATGGACACAGGCTAATGCAGCCGGATTTTGATATTTTACTTTTCGAATTAATGGTCAGCGGCAAAAGTTAAAAATTCGAAAAAGTCTCATTAACTTGCACAAAGATTTTTTTCTAACTACAAATCTAAACCAAATATCAAAAATCGGACTCTATTAGCCTCTAGCCATATACGTCAACTTCAATTTAAGGCCTTTCTGAGCACTCTGCGATGTGCCTTCAATCAGAAATTTTGCAGCTACGAAATGGTGTTAAGGTGAAAGTCGCTTTCTAGGTATGGCAGCCCTAGTATCTGATGTATATTTTAGGGCTTCCAACAAAACTCTCATAACGCTTGATTAGAACATCATTCAGAGCGGAGAGATATCTTATTTTGATCAGAAATGTTTGCTCTATTTTCTGGTACTATTGAAAGCGTTTTTGAATTCATTTTTTTATTGGAAAGTAAAATGTTGTCAAAAAGTAAGCTTTTTAGTGTTTTCAGAAAAGTTTTCTAAATGCCTCCATACCCCTTCGATGAGGATCAAACAACATTAGATCCTGATAGTAGATGCTGTGAGCAATCTGATAATGTGTTTAGTTCAATAGCGACTTTATAAAAAATTATATGTTGCTGGCAGGGGAGGGGAACGAAGGGCCCTTAGCATAAAGAAATATAAATGCTATGCCAGGCTACGTGGTCCATGTTATTATCATGCACAATACTGTGGAATCCTACAGTTTTATTTACTAAGACAATAATTAAAACTAACTGGAAACGATGATTCAGTCTTGCTAGGCCCATTGTGGATCGACAGAAATGGAATGCTCCAAGGTGATCTTGGGACATTCCATTGCTTTCACATGGCTCTCTTAAACGATTGTCAACTAGAGCAATCTAAATGGGTCGAAATAGCAGACTTTTGTTTGAGGCAAGAGCTGAGCGAACACAATATAAGTAAACTCGTGAAAAAAATTAAAAATTCTCCATCAAAACGGGGTATGGTTCCGCCTAAAAGAGACAAGTGCGGATAAGACTTAAGCCTTACCCAGCCTAGTAGTTCCACCGCCTCTGTTTTTAGCACTTATCATTCAAAAAGTTTTTTAAAGATCTGAAAGATTTATGCTCGTTTTCAAGGTTGTTCATTCTCTTAGTGGATTAAAACTGAGGAAACTTCTACTAAAAATGCATTGAAATACACAGAATACTTTTTACGGGGTAGTGCTACGATTAGTTTGAGTATGTGTGAAAATGCGCAGTTACATGAAGTCACTGTAGTTTTGAGCGCGTATGAATTCACACACTCTCAAACACGAGTACACGCCCCTAACCTTATTGTGTTTGAGAGTATCCATACGTGTGTGTAGTTTTCTAACTATTTTTCTTGAGCGTTTGTGTATATCTGCATACTAGCTTATAATAAACTTTACTTAAACATATCACTAAGAAAAGCACTAAAACTATTATCTTTCAACAAAAATACCTCTCTGACTTCTTCGACAATTAAAGACCATATACAAATATGAAGGATTATTTCTGTAACTGGAATTTCAATATTTGAAAAACGATCCCGTTTACCAAGGTTATTATTTCTTGGGAAATAATCAACCAATAAAACATAGCTAAACAGTCCCAAAAATAATATGTAGAAGATCTAAAATAAAATAAATAATTATTAATGAATATCATAATGACAAAAGTTCGTAGACCTACTATGTTATAATAAAATCGTATGATGGGGCGATTATGTAGAAATTGAATACATCTCTTATAATTTGCTTTCCAAGGTTCTACAAAATATGCTTTCCATGAAGTTTTGGGGAATTTTTCAAGATGTTCTCTAAGAAAAGGAAAACGTATCATAAAGCGCATGATGTGCCACATATTCCAAATTATAGCTAATTCCTTTTTGCATTTATGCACATGGGTGTACGTCATATCGAACAAGTAAGAAAAAATGGTTTTCATTTTTTTAAGGAATAAAACTGAAATGTTTTTGTTTTCCGATCTTCTAAGTTTTCAAAAGTATTTTTTTTCACATTCAGCATTAAAAACTGAGTCTGAGAATGATACTTAATCGAGGTTGAAACCAAGGATATATTCAGTATGGACGTCTTGGACTCCTCTTGTGGAAAGTTCAAAACAATTTTGCAAATCTATCTAGGTATTTTCTAAAGAGATGAAGCCACAATTGAGATTTTCACCAAAAAAGGAAAACTAACAAAAATCCTGAATTATATATTGTTCGACTCAGTTTTTGACGCTGATTTCGAAGGTATACCGGCACTTGGGCGCAAAGGTAGTTGAAGTTCAAAGGCGCCGGTGCTGGTGAGTATCGAGGAAGATTAAACAAATACTGATTACAGTTGGATATGAGTACTATAGGAAAAGCTCTCACACCGTACGAAGTTTGTTTAAAGAAACTTTTATCGTTATGCCTCATACTTTAACAACTGCACTCTTACTGAATGCTACATATGAAAATAATACCTTCGAAAAGTTAGAAGCTCGAAAAAGAAAAACATTTCAATTTTTTCGAAATTTTAGAATTTTCGAGATTTTTCAACTTTCATTTCTTAAGAGCCATTGCACAAAAGCCACAACTGACGTTCTTCAATCGCTGTTCTCAAAACGTTTCCAAAGTGGCACTTGTAGACCAAATATTTTAGTGAATTTTGGTAAAAGGCGCAAATCAAGAAGTTGTATCGTTGCTGAGATATTGATTGGCTTTTGTGCAATTGCTCTTAAGAAGGGTGGTGATATCCCGTCCGAAACCCCTCAAACTTTGCCAGTTTGTAGAGGGCACCTTCAAGGGTATACGTGTGCAATAACTCACGGGCTATAACTCCACTATATTTGATGGAGAGATGAAATTTCTAAAAATTGAAAAAATCGATTATTCCAGCTATTTTGCACCTAGTGCAAAAAGTCGCCTGCGTCAACAAAGTATTTTGGTAGGTTTACGTCAATGCAAAAGCTGTTCATTGCATTCATCTCTACCCGATGACATATTGCTTTTTTAGTACAGGCTGAGTAGACAAAGTTTTCAGTCATAAACTAGGTCCGAGTCAGAATTCGGCTCGTAATTCGCGATTGTCTCTAACAGATCTCAACTTTTATGTATTAGAAATATCATATTCGGAATTAGGATCAAAACTGAGTCGAATGATTTGTAATTCTATCCTATTCGAGTGCTTTAATGTTTTTCCAACTCTCACGTTGAAAAATTATCGAGATTTTCACCAAAAACTGATATAAAAATTTCAAAGTACACACATCATTCGGCTCACTTTTTGATCTTCATTCCGAATATGATATTTTTATTACATAGCAGTTGAGTTCTACTATTTGCACTAGGTGCCAAATAGCTATGAAAATCGATTTTTTCAACTTTTAACTCCGCCAAAACTTATTCAGCCCGTGAGTTATTGCACAGGTATACCCTTGAAAGTGTCCTCTACAAACTGGTAAAGCTTGAGGGTATATTTTGGAAGGGGTACTCCCCCTTAAAAAAAATTAAAATCACTTTTTGTTACTGAGCTCGATGTAGTTCTAGTACCCCCATGTGCATAAATGCAAAAAGAAATTTACTATGGTTTGGAATTTCTGGCACCTTACATGTATCCTCGAAATGAAACTATTTACCTCTGTTTTTCAGTCATTAATATTGAATCAAACCAAGTAGTAAAGATCAAAATTGGACATACTGTTAATAATAAAAACTATAATAAATAGAATATAATACAACAAATAATATTCTTTTATTTTGCATACAACAAAAGATAATGCTTATAAGTATAACCAACAAACGATAAACGAACACAAAGTACCAAAAAGTTCTCTACTTGATTCTGCTTACAAAACTAACAAAGATAGAGTAGTCTTCCTGTTTTAATTTTCTTCGTCAAATCTATCCATTTCTTGTGTTTACACTATTACAAACTTTGACCGTATTGACTTATATTAGTGTATTAGCTTGTTTTTTTGAGTCGCAACAAACGTCGTCTTGTTGTTTCTGCCTTTATTGGTCAACTCTCACTGTCTCACTCTTACCATTCCATCCAATTCCATTTTTATCAATCTGATCGTATTAGTGCGGCATCCACTATTGAAAAAATTTCACAGAATGCAGAATTCACTCTTTTCCAGTTTTTTTTCAGCAATGGTGGAATTCCTACATTTCAGACATTCTACAGAATTCTATAGAATTCTACGTTAGTACAGCTATGTAATATATTAGCCGAGTCAAAGACATGCGGAAATGTACAGAATTCTACTAGTGACTAGGAGTGAGGGGGTGGGAGGGAGCGCGGGCGTGCGGAGCATGAGTGTGTCCACTATGTCTGTACTAGCGTAGAATTCTATAGACTTCTGTAGAATGTTTGAATTGCAGGATGTCGGACACCCCTCCTTTTTTTCGATGATTTCTTCACCTAGCTGACTTATAACATCACTTCTTAAGAGCCTTTCGAACGAGAGGAACATCCGAAGTATCAAACTGCTTCTTAATCGAAGTGTTTCGGAAAAGATTGAGACGTCGGGTGTGAAATATAAAAATTTTACGAACATTCCTACCAAAATTGAAAAATTCCTGTACCATGCCTTTTATAAAAATTTCATAATTCAAAAGTCGTTGCTCGGGACCTATCCTCGTAGATAATCCGACATGACTTACAATCCGATGAGGTCAGAATCGATTCTGACCTGTGAGATGGAGAGATCTTCTCATCTTACGAGGAATCTTTCACGGGCCTCTTTCTGTGAACGTAGAACCTTTTTGTTCTATGGAAGTTTTTGATGTTGATCATAAATCTGATATTCATTTGCGCGGCTGATGAGTTTCTGAATGGTCTTTTAGAATCGTATCACAAGATGCATTCAAAAAACTACGCAACAGTTTTTAATTTTAAGCACAGAAAAATAGGTAAAACCTTTTTACTTTTCTCATTCTGAAGCTTTTATATTGAATTAAACTTTGTTGGTAGTTCTAAACATCTTCTACAAAGATCTTCGATAAGCCCCACCAACTGCGCAGTTCAGAATGTCTTAATTGGAAGCCTTATGATGAATCTCTAGGCCCAAGAATTTAAAAACTGGTTCAGAACTTCAGTCAGCGCGCAAAGTACATTAGACATAAACTTTGTTCTGTATGGCCGGCTGAGAGAGAGAGAGACAGAGATAGGACAAGACCTTCTCTCGTTAGTGAATGCAGTTCTTCTGAAATAAGTATTTCAACTGGAAACACTAGCAGAGATAAATTTCACGATTAATACAAAATAAAATTATTATCTATATTTTAAATTACGCTACAAAATGTTCAACGCGAACCAGTTGCGAACTAGGGGTTGCAGGTCTCTATTATAGACTTATTTACAATAATAACAAGGGTGCTTCACCTAAAAGTTTTCATCCAAAATTTCTTAAAACATCTTATACTGCTGGATAACTCTCTTCAGAACATACATGATGCTGTGGTTTGCTTTTCCAATAAATGACTGCGGCCAAATAGAATATGACTTGAAAGCTAAATAGAAAACTATGGTCTTCGAACCCCTAGAAGACAACTGGTCTTCTGTTATGTCCGCCAAAAAAAATCGGAAAATGGGGCAATTTTCAAAAACATTTCGCCAAAATATTGTTCTAATAGGGGATGGACTTCAGGTATGTGAGGGGTTACCAAAATTTGCGACAAAATTTGATCACAATAGAAGACCACCCTTTAGAACTCGACTTGTCGGAAAAACTAGAAGACCAGGTGGTCTTTTGTCATAGATGACATACCTTTCGAGAACATTGTCAACTAGAACGTCCAGCTTAAAGTCAGTTTCCTAGAGATTTACAGAAAACACATATTTTTGCAGTATACTTTTTTTCCTCCTTTAGTGCAATTTTACTGGCACACTGCTCGTAAAGTCAAGTTAACAGATAACTAAGCTGCAAAACCATAGTTACCTCAAATATTTCTAGGAAACCATCGTAAGATTTTTCTTGTTGACAAGATTCTTGAAAAGGTATGTCACGTATAGAATTCAAAATCTTAATTTTTCTCTAGAAAAATTCTGTGACACGGTTAGAAAACTTTTTTGAGAAATCAGTTCTTTTTCGTAAAAGATGGAGGTGTAGCCTTAAAAGCAGTATTAGCCAGAATTACTTACCAAAAGCTCAAGAGCTGCTTTTGATGTGTGCCGTTCAGACATTTCTCCATACCACTTTCTATCAACATATCTTTTAACAGCGCTGGATGATATGAATTGACGACAACGATTAAGATCCTCAGTGGCTAATTCTAGTGGACTATAGTTAAAAAATGATTTTGATTTTGTTACTAATATTTCAAGAGCAAATTTTTCGTCTTTTGCAAAACATACTTCGATAATATCTTTCGCGCGTTCATCACATAACCTACAAAAGACATAAAAGTTATCGATGGGAGAAATATGAATTAACGTGTATTTTCTGTTTACCTTTTTAATGTCTTAAACAAAAGTTTAACATCACTTCTATAGTGCGATTTCATTGCTGTATCATATATTTTACAACCGATTAGATCTGTAACTGTTGCATTCTAAAAGAAGTTTTATGCATTTTCATTATAACTTCATGCCGTGCACTCTCTCTCTACGAAGATAAAAGAATACTTTTCAGATGATCTCTCCCAACTAACAGTTATCTATTTGAAATTTCTTCGGTTTTCATGATTTAAACCATTGAGGAACCCCGTTAGCAACATATAACTTTTTAATGAAAAGTCGCTATTGAACTAAACACATCATCAGATTGCCCACAGCATCTACTATCAGGATCTAATGTTGTTTGATCCTCATCGAAGGGTTATGGAGCTTTTTAGAAAACTTTTCTGAAAACGTTGAAAATCAGATACTAGCGCCACCATATTTCGAAAGCGACTTTCACCTTAACACCATTTTGTAGCTAAAAAATTTCTCGGTAACGACACATCGCACAGTGCTCAGGAAGGCTTTAAATTGAAGCTAACATATATGGCTAGAGGCTAATAGAGTTCGATTTTTGATATTTGGTTTAGATTTGTAGTTAGAAAAAAATCTTTGTGCAAGTTAATGAGACTTTTTCGAATTTTTAACTTTTGCCGCTGACCATTAATTCGAAAAG